TGTGCGTAAAATTTCCCGTTTTCCCTTAATTTTTAGTTTGTTTTTCTTGATTATTTAGAAAAGTATTTTTCACTTTTGACCCCCCAAAGTACCAACTAGATTCACTTTCTGATCGAACGAGATACTGAAGTCAAAAATCGAAGCACTTTTACTGCCCCAAAATGTGATGACAGACAATAAATAAATAAATAAAAACACACATCATGGTAAAATCAATACATTCATCGCTCCACTCAGAATCTAAAATTATGTTAAATTATATTTTAAAAGTAGAGTGGAATTTATTATTATTATACTAAAAAAATAATCTGGAATTTATCCTTTATATTATATGACAAACCAAAATTAATTGTTACCTAAAATTTACTTGGTATGACACTGACATTTATTAATATTTATTTTTTTACCTCCTCATACCTTAATTAAATTTATTATATTACCTACGTAAGTATTTGAAATCATTTTACTTTTTAAGTTTATATAGTTATATTTTTATATTATTGTCTTAACTTCAATTAATTATTTTACTGGTGTTTTTTTTCAGGAAGATACAAATATTGAAAAAGAGGGTAATAAATAAATTTAACTACTACTCTAAACTATATTATATATATTTTTTCTAATCTATCATCAAAAATATGCAAAGTATTTTTTGTTAACATTTTTTTTTTAAGGATTTTTAAGTAAGGTATTAAATTTTGATAATGAAGAAACTTTGTTTTATGTATAATGTATATGTATATCAATATCAATTTACATTTTAGTTGTTTGGTATACCAATTTAGTTTTTTTATTATGATATATATATACACACATATTATATTTATGCAATGTATAAATTCTGCATAAACAATGACAACTAGAAGACAGATATATGACCACGAAATAACTAATTTTATCATATTTTTGATGAAGTTTCAACTAAAAGAAACCTGAAAATCATTGAAGAAATGTTCAAAGATTATTATACATTTTGAACAACTGTTTGACAATTTTGACACAATATTTAGTATTCAGTAGAAAAAGTTGTTTTTTCAAACTATAATTAAATATTAAGTTATTAATAACTAAAAAATATATAATTATTAAATAAAAAACTATTGACATACACAAGAAAAAAATAATTAATACCATTACATAATTTTCTTAATCATTTAGTTTAAATTAATTGAATTAATTTTATAATATTTTGAAAAAATGCACAGAAAATGTGGGTGAATCTTATTTGTATATTTCTTATCAAAGATAATTTAAAATCAATATTATATTCAGTTTATTTTATTAAATGTTTAATCCATGCCTTTAAAACCCTTAATTTTGTTTTATAATATTGATATTAGTATTTCATTTCATTTTATTATTTAACATTTGTTATAAATATATTAAATATATCTTAGTATAGATTCAAATTATGCAATTATTTATATGTTAACTATTAATATTATGGGCATTTTGTGTTTATGTATATTTAATTTGTGTGACGCAATATAGACGAAGCGATTGAGAACCATACCATAGAAGAAACTTTATCGATCAAACAGCGTGAATCTTGCCATCCAGTTACTGCTAGTAGCAGATCAACAACTGGTTCGGTCAAAAGCCGTCGTAGCACAACTGAAAAACGACCATCTGTTGGAGATAAATCACGCAGTACCCGTAAAGAAGACAAGGACATCAGCAATGCAAAACCTCTTATCAATGTCAGTGTCTTCAAAGATGAGAAGAATGAAGTGGAGAAACAATTTAAAGATAAAGTGGAAGCAGACAATAAGCAGAGGTTTGTTTTGAAACTCTCAACAACTGGTACTTTATCCMTTCATCGGAATATTGCGCCAAGGATCTGATATATGACTGCCAATTAAAAGTTTTATAAAACTGTGATTTTCATACTTTTTTAATACGGCTAAGTTTGATCAAATATCCCATTTTATTTACTGCTAATGGATAAATAAGTTGTATGTTCATGAACACATCTTCTAGTACATAATAACTAGCATGTACAAACATGCATGTCAGTACTAATGGAGATTATGTGTTTCTAATAGTTACAGAAATTAGGTGTTTTTAATTTTGGGTTGAATGTTGTGTGGATATATATTATTAATTACAAGAAATGTATGTACCAATCTTTCAAATGCTGGGCAATTCTAGATAGATTATATTTGAGTGGAGTTGATTAAGTATTGTGTAATCAATTCAGTATTTCATAAGATTTCCATTTTCTTATGGAACTTTATTTAATATTTGGTATTTAATTTATATTTTTAACTAATAATGATAAAAATGTATTATTTTCTTTTAATTATACATATTTTGAGTTTAAAACTATTTATTATTATTCGGATAGATAAAAATAGTTGTTTATTATTTGCTAACTAGCACCTATTTAGATATATCTAATATATCTAAATAAGTGCTAGCTGTATTACCCAAAATTATCCTATGCCAAAATTAATTTATATTTATACCCTTCTGTTTTGATTCAATTGAAATATATAATAGTATAATACTAACATAGTTACAATGATTAATTTATATGATTTTTCACTGCTTAGTACTGGACGTATTTTCAATGTTAACACAAAAAACTAAATAGATTAAATTAAAGCTTATAAGCGTTAATGTAAATCTCATACTGTTAAGATTTTGATTTTAAGTGTTTTATCTATGTTGGGCATGGGTTAGAGAGAGACAAAATAAAAAGTGTACTGACATCCTCTTTTTTTTTACTAGATGATTCATTCATCCCAATATATTGAGGTATACATTTTGTGTATGTAGAAAAAACTATTTTTTAATATTAATTTTAAGTTCATATTTACACTATTTTTATTTTCATAACTTGATTCAAATTATTTTATAAATTAATCATATAAGACAGGCTATGCTCTTAAATATGTATATAATTCAATCTAAATAAAATTAATTGCGTAATCAAATTACCTTATCTTATATTTTACAAGAAAAAAACTATTTGATTTCACAATACCATGCTTAAAGGGATTGCAAATAGACAATTATTTTAACCAAATGTGCCAATACCTTGTAAGTCATACAGATTATCAAATCTTATTACTCAATAATACTGAGAACTGATTAAATGTATTAATATGTCTACTTGTGATTAATTAATCTACTTTAAACAATTTTGTTTGAATATTAAAAAAATTAATTTAATATCGTAAAATGTGGCTTGATCTATCTCAATTAGACAACATATAAATTAATTTAAATACGTTTTCAGTAATCTAATTTTGTTTTAAGTCTATCGGTAGAATCGACAAATAGTACATATTAATGAGTTTACATTGTTTACTGTTCACATGCGCAATGCTAAAGCGGTGACTTGTATGTGCACTTGCAGAAGTGCTTCGTTATTTTATTCACACACACATTAATGATCCACTAAGCACACTTTTTCTAAACTTGCATACATAAAATTTGAAAATTGTCTATTTTAAACTCTTTATAAACTGTATATTTGCAATCTCCTTAATACTAATAGAATTCATAGCACATATGTTAATGTTTCAAATAAAAAGTTCTTTATTTTTATTATTTCTGAAAGAATCACTCAGATAGAAAATTGGTACATACTACATAGATATAATTTTATTCATAGATGTGGTGAATTAAAAATAATATATAACTTTTGAGAAATTTAGTAGTGAGTTATTAACTAAAAAAAGTCAGTACAAAATGACTGAGTAATTGGTTTTTGATCAAACATCTTAGTTTAGAATCTTTTTGCATGATATGCATATGAATTTTTTATAAAGGTTTGTATAAATACATATTGAATATAACTTGAATTTTTAATTTACACAATATAAAATACAATATTTAAGTAAATATTCACAAACCTATTTATTGAAATGAATAGTGCTGATGAATAAAGATGGTAATTTCAAAATATACAGATGGATATTTCCTGAAGAGAGAAGTCACTTACAAAATATGTGAATTTACGTAGTGTAACTTCAAGTGTAATACGTTTAAAAGAGATTTTTATTTTTTCAATGTAAACATTAAAAAAACAAGTCAATAAGTATGAAATAAAGAATTTGAAGTAATAGATACAATACAGAAATAGAATGGATTATCAACTTATTAATGAATATTGTTGAAAAAAAAACTAATATTATACTTATTATAGTTATTATTAATATCAAATTATGTATTTTTGTTAATATATGAAGTAAAGAGAATAATGCTCAATGAAATAATTGTACAATAGATTTCTTATTGTACTAAGATTGTAATTTTCAAGATACTAAATTGTCTGATGACAGTTGATAAAAATCAGTTAAAGATGAATTAAAAATTGGTTTTATGCTAAGACGATGGTAAGTCATCAATGTTGGATTACTTTGACACAGAAGAAATGCTAATTTTGATTAATATGTGCTATTTATATACAAATGATGTTCAAATACAAATTAAAAATACTTCTTCCAAATCAAACAATATTTTTTCAAGTGACATGAGTGTTGGATATATTTCTCATAACTAAGTATAAAATACTGTGAATATTTTTTAAAATACTATTAATTTTGTGTGGTGGCAATTTGTATGGCAATGATTATATAGTTAATGCAATTTGACTTATGCATAGAAAATATATTATGTCTGAAGTATATGTTATATAATAACTAGCAAAATATATTAATAAATTATTTTTGTTAAGTTTAAAGTGGAAACAAGTAATAATTTAATATACCTACATTCTGTGTGTGAAAAAAATGTATATTGTTTGTTAACCTAAATTATAAATAATTATTTTTATAAACATTTTTGTAATTTATATTTTCAGTAATGATTCAAAGTCTCAGCAAATATCAAATGACACATGTAAGTTTTTATTTATTTTTGTCATTTAAAAAATTAAATATTGTTCTTTTTAGATAATTTTAATAGGTATTGGTTTTATAAAAACTGTTTTACACATAAAAGATAATAATATATCAATTAAATCAATTTATATATTTAAAAATAGATTATTTTTTTTAAATTCACATATAACCAGCCTGGCTGAAACACACCAATTCTATATACACTATTTCAAATAAGTTTGGAAAAACTGTGCTGTCTCGAAACAGTAGTACCGCTGTGATAGTCCAGTAGTGTGGACAGCCAACAAAAATGTACATGCATGAACCTCTTCACGTTTTCGTTGTGATTTTTTTCCAAACCTTAAGAATAGAGTATAGAGATCTTAAGAGGACGTAAAACTGGCATTTGTTATCCCTGTCTTTCAAGTATGTGAAATAGTAAATTTACGGTCAGTAGAACATGTGTAGTTTCGTTAGTTAAAAAATATGAGTGAATTGACATTTGATGATTTACAATTATTTGAATTGTCATTAAGTTTTTATGTATAATTCAGAATAAATTAAAAATGCTCATAATTCTAAAAAACTTAATTATCTTAAATAACTCACGTACAAACACATATAATTTTCTTACTGTCAAGTTTCTGAAGAGGTTGATTCACTTTAATTTTTAAACTAATGAAGCTATACGTGCTCTGCTTAGTATACATTTACTAAGTTATACACTTGTAAGATGGAGATAATAAGTTACAGTGTTACTCTTACGTCTTCTTAATGATTGTTATAAGAGAATTCACTGGAACAACAATTAATTAAGTATACATTTATGTTAGGTATTCTTTTATAAATTGAAATTTATTTGTAATATGTAATATAAAATATTTAAAATTTAAAATTTCAACTTCTTTAATTTCTTAAATTTATATATTCTAAAATTATACTTATTCATGCGTATGCTAAATAATCAATTAATTACGATTTATTAAACTAAACATACTTGAGTTTCCTAAACAATTTCAACTTGATATCACCTATAATTTACTTTTTAAAATGTGTTTTAGCAAAGAAAAATAATTCATCCTTGGTACGCAACATTTGGGTTAGTGGTTTATCATCAATTACTAAGGCTACTGATTTAAAACAACTTTTTTCAAAATATGGAAAGGTAATATTACTGATTATTTATATTTTAATTATTATTGTATAGGTATGTGTTTAATCCTGTAGGTTTATATGTTATAAATCATAGATCTTTGAGAATTATTTCGTCATATATGATATGAGCGTTTTGAAATATATATTTTTTTAAATGAATTATTGACAATATTATGAAATTTAATTATTACATTTCTTAACATAAATTTTAATTTTAAAACTACACTCTGAAACTAATTATAGTGATTTGTTTCCATTTATATGATTGCCATATTTATACTATTCATTGTGCTTTGATTTATATTTTACTGGTCAATCAGTTTGTGACCAAATATTATAATTATTCACTATATTTAGTACATTATAATTTTTTTAATTTCATCATGCTTGTTTTTTTTTTTATTCATTATTTTTTTCCATGGTATAGAATTATTTGGTAAATAAACTTTTATATAAATCTTTCTGAAATACTAATTAATATTTTGTTTGACCAAAAGGTTTTTAATTTATATTTTATAATTGACATGGAACTAAAATGTATTCATTAACATGGAATCATACATACATGATATGTTAAATATAGTAATACCCCTGTACGGTGGTTTTAGGTGGTTGGTGCAAAAGTTGTTACAAATGCCAAAACTCCAGGAGCTCGTTGTTATGGGTTTGTTACATTATCCTCTGCTGAAGATGCTAATTGTAGTATTGAAAATTTACACAAGACTGAACTTCACGGACGTATTATTAGTGTTGAACGAGTTTGTATTTAAAATTTATTTCCTAATTAAATATTATAGTTCACAATAAAATAATCATTGGTTATCATCATTAATAGGCTAAACGTGACAATGGTTATCAAGTGACAGCTAAAAGTTCTGATTCATTTAAAGTAAATGAAAATTCTGAAAATGATCTAAAAATAAAAAATAATGATGAAAAGAAAGATAAACGAGAAGAAAAAAGAGAAAAGAGACCAGAAATTACAATTAATGATGTTAAAAAACAACCAGACTTGTCAACCCTTAAGCGTGGTTTGTATTAATTTTGTATTTTAATGAACTTGCTTTGATTAATCTAAATTGTATTTTTTTTCATTTGTGTAGTGTCAAAAAATCAAAATCAAGATCCAAAACGTTCTAAAATTGTGATTGAAAGTGATGAACATAGAAAAGACAGAAGCATTAAAAGTAAAAGCAATGAACGTGATAAAGAAAGAATCAAAGAATTAGAACGAGAAAGAGAACATTTAGCAAGAGAAAAAAGAAAACAACAAGAGATATTAAACTTAACAAAAATGAAAGTAAGCTAATTAATTGTTTCTTTAAATTTATAAACAATACATTCTTTATGATGATGCTCCGATTTTTTGGTGACTAAAATTAAGTTTTTTTTTGTAAACAATTATTATTTTTATATAAATATTATATAAAATGCTATAAAATTTGTTAATTTTTTTGATATGTTATTATTTTAATTTATTAGACTGAACGTGAAATGCTAAAACAAAAAGAGCATGAAAGAGCAATGAGAGAAGAAGAGCGTAAGAGGCGTATTGAAAAAGAACGCCAATTAGAAATTGAAAGAAAACAAAAAGAAGAAGCAATACGCCTCGAAAAGTTGGCATTTTGAATACTAATTCTGGATTGTAATAACCAAAATATTAATATTCATTTATTTATTTAGAGAAAGACAAAAACTTCGAATTGAGCGTGAACGAATTGAAAAAGAAAAGGCTGAACTTTTGCGTTTGGAGCGTGAAAATCAACGTTTAGAACGTGAAAGATTACAAAGAGAAAAGGAAGAGTTACGTAGAGCACAAGAAAAATTAGAAGAAACAAAGCGCCAGGCATTACTAAAGCGTGCTATGCCCCTATCTCCACCACTTCAAAGTAAAAGACATTCTTCATCAAATTCATCTCGATATGAAGAAAGGTACTAATACATGTTATTTAAATGTATATGTAATTTTCTTTCATGGTTATCAATTATTCACTTTTGTTTCTTTTCCATTTGGTTTTCATATAGAAAAGAACCAATTCGTAGTTCTCGTATCCAGCTTAGTACAGACTATATGAATCAAGCTCCTCCGCCTCCTAACATAACATCATCCAGACATCGCTATGAACAGCATTCATCAGAGTCTCGCCGTATGAGGCCATCACCATCCCCTCCTCCGCCACCTGCTTCAAGACCTAAAGACTCTACTGTGAATATCAGGTAATATTTATTTGCATACTATTGTAGATTTACTGAAGAAAATATAATTTATTTAAAATTCTTATTTTCATTACTGTAATAAGTAATGATTACAGTTTATAAGAATTTTGTAAAGTAAGATTCAGCCATTTGACAGCTAGATATTTCAATAATAATTATCTGAGTTTGTACAGGCAATGATACAGTTTTTATTTTTTAACAAATCTTAATGTTTTTCATTTTATTTATATTATTAAATCAAAGTTCTTTTGTATTACTATAATTTATGTAATGTTATGTATAGTATTTTTGAACTTGGTACAATAAAATACGACTATTGACAGCTAAACAATTATTTTGATATTCGTTTATGTTTGTACTGGTTTATGAAACAATTATAGTTTAAATAATTAAAACCTTCTTAAAATTTTCTCATAACTTTAATTACTTCTTAAAAATATTTATTATTATTGAAACATTTTACACTGTTTCATTGTTTGTAGATATGGTGCTCAACCAGCAACAGTACATTACAGAAGCCGTGATGTTCGATCAGATCGAAGAGAAGAATCTCGTAGGAAAGATTCAAGTAGTGGAAGTAGTAGCAGACATGCTCATTCACTATATGATTCAAACAAAAGTTGTAAGTCTTTAAAAAAATTAATAATTGTATATTTATTTCTGTATCACAATGACACTTWTTATTTCAGCCTATGGAGGATTATCACGCAATACTGAAGATAATAGCTGGTCATCAACTGCAGTAAAGAATTCTTATGGCACAGTTGGTTCAAGCTCTGGAACTAATATGGTTATAAGTTTGAGACCAGATCCATGGTCACATAATACTTTTCGAGATATGGAGACAAGCATTTGGCAACGTCCAAGTCAACCACTACCTGAGAAGTATGATTTTAATTTTTTTGCTACTGATATAGGTAATTCCCATTTAACAATTGTATTTGTTCTTGTAGGTGGAACAGTCCATCAAGCAATCCTTCATCTATGCCAATAAGTGGACGTAGTTCTAGTAGTAACGCTTTGTATGGTAATAACCATCAAGTTATACCTAACATGGGGTTAAACGTGCCAACAAACTACAGTGATAGTAGATTTGACAGTTACAAAATGAGTGGCATGTCACGCAAATATTAAATACCAAGCAGTCAATCATAGCACAAAACATTCCTGTATTTGTGCTCTTTGTTTTTTTTTTTTTTTTTGAACATTGGTCTGAAGAATATGATCGTTAAATTGTTCTAGTTTTATTTTTTTAAGTAAAGTGATTTAACTTCTTTGCACTTTTCATACATATGTTATTCAAATATAAAATTATTTGATTTTTAGTTGATTATAATTTTAAGGATATTTTAATGTCTAAATATAGTTAATTGCTCTTGTATACATTTTATATAAAAACTTAAAATTCATAACTTCTCAAATTCTATTTACCCATTACATTTAAATATAAATAATGTATTTACTATCTTATCCATACTATTATTTATTCAACTTTTTGTTTGTTTTTTTCTTATTAATTATTAAACTATTTAATTCTATGCAAATGTATCTTCTTAAAAAAAAAAAAAAAAAAAACAATATTGTTCAATGTGTGAAAAGTATTTTAATTTTGCTGTTTAAATAATAATGACTCAATGGGGCAGGATTATTTATTTTAACCAGTTAATCTTGAATAAACATATGTTCACACAGACCTTAAAATAAACAAATAGTTATCTATTTTGTACATTTTGTTACCTAAATTGAAAATATACAATAATAGTATTATGCAATTTATATTTAAATTTAATTATTAAGTTAAAAAATGAATTATGAAATTATTCTTATTAATTTATAGCAAATACGTGTGTTTACATATATTAGTGAGGTTCTTCAAAATGTAATTGTATATTTCATTCTAGTTTATTATTTTATGATTTAACTTCATTATTTCAGCGAGTTTTGGTTATTATAATCACTGTTTTTTAAAATCAACCATTTATTGAAATTAAAAAGAATAAGCCCAAAACCAAATTTTAAGTTACAGTTAATTTTAAATTGATCATTTAAAGGAATCACTATGTGTCCATTGATTATTTTATTTATATTTATTATATTATCTTTCAGATTAATAATGTTAGGAGACCAACAACATGTTAGGTACTAAGTATACAATTGTATTTTTAAACTTATCAGTGTAATAGTGGTGTCATTTAATTTCAAAGATTTTAAATGAAATAATTTTTCATATTCTGAATTTTGTAGTAGTTCTTCTTTTCACAGTTAACACTGAACAGTATTATTCATAGTTTCTAAAACAATGTATTAGAAATTATAAAAACCAAAGATACATCTAAATCTTACAGTTTATTTAATATATAAATTATAAAATACAAGTGGTTTTATGATTAAAAGTGAGATGTTTTTATTGCGATTTCAGTATATTATATTAGCCAATATAAATCTTATACAACTTTGAAAGTAATACTATAGAGTATATGATAATAATTTCATATATTCTGTGGTGATACCACTATCTTTTATCAAGTCTATAATAATTAAAAATTAAATGTACAATATACATGCAAGTCTTAATAATTATACATTTGGTTTATTTACTTTTCATTAAATTAGATGAAACTATTTTTAAACAGGAAATTGACTAGTAACAATTTTACGCTGAACTTTTAAGATATCTTATCAGTTCTTACAATTAATTAATAAATATTTATATAATCAAAAATGCAGTTCAACTTGAATTGATAATTTTTATAATGGAATATTTTGATGCATGAAAATTTTTGGGAGATCTGGTCCATAATAAAGTTTTGTATTGTTTCCTAAAGATTCTATGCGTTTCATTTCTAAATATTCTTTAGTTAATAATAACTTGTTAGAATCTGCTTGCATTTTAATACGGTAAAATTCCGCATCAGCTGCGCTCTTTTCTTTATCCAAATGAATTGTATCTATAATGTTGAATAAATAATATGTATACATATTAAAATAACTTCAAAACAATTATTTAGATATGTTTACCTTCTATAACAGATATCTGTTTAATAGATTCTTTTTCCATAATTTTCTGTTCAAATTCAATTTTTGAAACTTGTGATTGTTTTTCAGCTTCTATAATGGCACGTTTACGTTCTGTTTCTGCTTCTTTTTCAATGACTTTTTGTCTTTGTTCAGCAATAAGTAATTTAGTTTTTTCTGCTTCCCTAGAACAAACAATTATATATTACTTAACTGTTAAAATGTACCAACTTTATTTTATTACATGATTTCATAGTTTTTGCGTATTGTCTCTGGTATTTTAGGTTTTGTAACACGTACAGCATGTACTTTTAGTCCAGGAGCCATTTCTGTTAAATCTTTTTGCAATGCGACTTTAAGATTTTCATCTATCTGATCAAATAGATCTATGTATACCTATAAAAATAAAAGTGTATCATGGTCTTAGGAATTATTTTATAATGTTCAATAAATCAACATTTACTTCATGTAAATTATGAACACTGCAGAACTGATTAAGTTCATGATGTACTTTATTAAATATTAATGTTTTGTCGTAATCAGCTGTATAGTTCTTAACAATATCAAACACTAGAAAAAAAATTAAAAAAATATTTTTAACACTGATTCTTATAATTTAATATTTGTTTGAATATAATAATATTAAATCATATATAAACCAAACGTTTTCAATCAGTCCAATCGCCTAATTCAACTGATGTGATTTCCATGCCATATCAGTATAAATGTTAATGAAATGACCGAGACTCGCCAAGCTACCTTCAATACAATCTTGTAGGCCAACTTTGCTTTTAAATATAAAACTATGGTCCCCCTTATCCCTATTAAAAACTTGGTTTAGCTGGATTCATATTTTAATGTTGTTACTATTATTTTTGTAAATTTTTTTCACTTTTTACTGTCATAATTTCACTATATTTTGTTTTTTTTTTCTATGTTTTTCATAAGACTGTCTAGTATAATAAATTGTATAATTGTCAAACTTTTAAAGTTATAGACTAAAATCTAATTTAAAAAAAACATATTTGTTTTTWTTAAACAATTAGTTTACATTGATAGTATTTTATCAAAACATCTAACATTAAAAATTATTTTAAATAATTAGAATATGTAGCACAATATTAAAATTACTAATCATTATTAAGTTACATTAAAGTAAATGTGGTTGTGGTATCACTATCCTATTATACTACAGATTGAAGTGGATCAGTAAAGCTGTTGATTGTGAATGTTAGTAAATGATATAGAATTAGTGGTGTGATGTGAGTGGCTTACCATTATTATTGTTAGGCTTATAGTTTCCAAACAAGTTCTACTATGTACAATTTTATTGATCCTCATTCTAAACCATAAATTCCTGATTTTCCACACAAAAACCATGCATTTATAATAATACTATGATATTTTAAATTCTGAGCGGAGTGATGAATGTATTAATTTTACAAAGGTGTGTTGTATTTTTATGTGTGTGTGTACATGATAAGTTGTCAAAATAATGTTTCGATTTTCATCTTTAGTAGCTTCTCCGGTTGGAAAGTGAATTTATTGATGCATTAGGGTGGTAAAATTTTGAAATTTTCAGTAGTTTTCAAAAGCACCGGGAAAGAGGTTTTAAGGAAAAACCTAGCTGTAGATTCATGCAATTTTCACTGAATATTTATACTGGTATTTTATATACTTTATACAATTTTCAAAGTATTTAAACACATTTGAAATTTTCAATAAGTTTAGATTTTTTTTACAAATGACAATAAAATTTTAATCATTGGGTAAAAAAGTTTCAAAACTTACAAAGCTTTTTATGTATTATCACAATGGTAGTTCAAAAATATAAAAAACACAGTCCCAAATTTTTTTAATGAAAGTTTGAATTTTGACAAAATACGCAAGAGCCAGGAAAATTCATAAATTAATTTAAGCTAAAAATTCATAAAAATTGAATACAAGATTTCTTACAAGTTTTTCAACCTTTTATAAATGACAATAAAATTGTATTAATTAGATAAAAAAGCTACAAAATTAAATACATTGCTCCTAATATAATGTTACAATGATAGTTATAAAATATTAAAATTATATAGTCACAAATTGTTTTAATAAGCATTGAAAATTCTAAGTATCTAACAAAGTACTTTAAAATCCTTAAAATGTGCAATTAATTTTGAGTTAGAAATTCATGAAAATTCATCTTTTTAAATCAAAGATCTGAAAATTGTATACAAAATTCTTCATGAGTTTGTCTATTTTTATCAAATGAAAAATGGCTACTGGAAAGTCAAATTGAATTTTTATGAGCATTTGAATTACAACATTGAATATTCACTCAACTTCTCTTGTACCGATATTCTTATTTTGTTGTTATTCAAAAACGAATAACTGTAGACACTTGAAATTTACACCATATGTTTATTTTATCAATTCCTAAACTATATAAAATTTTAAAAATATTTCAACAATTTTTAAGTTATTTATAGACAAAAGAAATTTTCCATTTTTTTAGTTTTTTATTCTATAAACATCAAAAAAATTGTATTTGTTGTTGGGTCAATATGCTTAAAAATCATTGTCATCATATCACCTATTATAAATAGACTTTAAAAATTTAATACAGGGTTTCTCATTAGTTGATATTATAGCAGTTAGAAAATGATAAAATTATATAGGCAGGTTTTTAAATTTTGAAAAAATTTATTTAATTGAAATTTTACAAATTCTTTAGTAGTTAAAAATGTGTAGAACATTTAACTTTTATATAGCTAAGTATTGAAAATTTAAAATAAGGTTCTACGTAAGAAGTTAATTGTGTAAAAAAAAAATCAAAAAACTAAACAGTTTTTTAGATTCTGAACGAAGTGATGAATGTATTGATTTTACAATGATGTGTGTGTGTGTTTTTTTTTTTTGTGTCTGTGTACAGCATAACTAGTCGAAATAATGCTTCAGTTTCAAACTTTGGGGGTGGTTTCCGATGTAAAAGTGAATATCCTTGGTGCATTATAGAGGTCAAAAGTAAACATTTTCCAACAGTTTTCATAAAAATCGAGTAAAACAAAAAAAAATGACAGAAAAACTGGAATTTTTACGCAAAATTAGTTTTCGACCAAATCGATTTTTTTATATGGTTGTAATTCAAAAACTAATCACTGTAAATACTTGAAATTTTCACCAAATGTTTATGTTAGTTTTATCTATATACAGTTTAATTTTCAAAAATGTTTGACTTTTTTTGAGTTATTTATAGACCACTGAAATTTTCAATTTTTTTTTGAAGTGCCGGTAAAAAAATGTTGGACGACCAAAAAAACTTGAAAATTTAATACAACGTTCCTTATGAGTGTTTCTTATTGTAGCTAAAAAAAAATAAAAATCGTWAGTCACAATTTTTTTTWATAARCGTTTATAGTTCAAATTTTTACGAAATCTGTCGAAAACGCGAAAATTTGCAAGTAATTTGAAAAATCATAAAATTTTTTGTGTTTATAACTAAGGATTAAAAATACAACACTATGTTTTCTATTAGTTTTCCTTCAAGTAGCTATAGAGAAAACTCGAAACATCATTATAGGAAAAACTTTTAAGTTCGTTTGAATTTTAAATTTTTACGAAATAGCATAACGATAACGATTTATTCTCAAACGATTTTAAATTTTTGTTATTATTCAAAAAGTATAAGTTGTAGATACTTGAAAATTTTACCAGTTATTTAAATTGACATTTTCTTTACAAGATTTAAATTTCAAAATATTTTGACTTTTTTTGAGATATTTATAGACAACTGAAATTTTCAATTTTTCTGAAAMATTTTTTTTTGAAGTGTCGATAAAATTTTTTTGGCCATATCAAAATACATGAAAATTTAATACAAAGTTTCTCATAAGTTATTCTTATAGTGATTAAAAAATTATAAGAATACATAGACACATTTTTTTTTTATTAGAATTTTAAGTTCAAATATTGACAAAAATTCGTCAAAACCGTGAATATTTTCAAATTATTTTGAAGTTGAAAAATCGTAAAAATGTTTGTGTTCATAACTAAGGATTAAAAATACAACACTTTCCATAAATTTCCATAAGTTTTTATTCAAGTAGCTATAGAGAAAACTCGAAGCGTCATTATATAGGAAAAATGTTTTGAGTGTTTGAGTTTTAAATTTTTATGAAATCAGGTAAATGTATATCTTTGATAACATAAGGTATTATGAATTATGATAACTACATGCAATGTTTTTGGAAAAATTGATTAACCATGTCTTATGCAAAATGTGTCCTAATTGAAAAATAAAATATTTGTTTCAAAATAGAATATATGACGATATTTAAATATTACTGACATAATTTATAGACAACTGAAATTTTCAATTTTTCCGAAACATTTTTTTTGAAGTGTCGATAAAATTTTTTTGGCCATATCAAAATACTTGAAAATTTAATACAAAGTTTCTCATAAGTTATTCTTATAGTGATTAAAAAATTATAAAAATACATAGGCACAATTTTTTTTGTTAGCATTTGAAGTTCAAATATTAATAATTATATAATTACGGCAATTGAAAATTATCTTAGATAGAAATTCATAAAAGTTTTTCTTTTTAAATCTAAGGGTTTGAACATTTAATACAAGGTTCCTATCATAGTTTTACAATAGCAGTTGAAAAATAAAAGAAATATATATGCATAATTTTTTTTTTAAAGCATTCAAAGTTTGAATTTCGACAAAATACGTAAACATCACGAAAATTTGCAAATCATTTTAAACTAGAAATTCTTAAAGTATTTTCCTTTTATATCTAAGATTTGAAAATTTAATACTAGGCTCCTAACAATTTTTACAATAGCAGTTGAAATATAAAATAAATGCATAGTCACATTTTCTTTTTACAAGCATTTAAATTTAAATTTTGACAACATATACGGAAAAGTTAATAATATAAATCTAAATACATTTATGGCAGCCCGCGGCCGTATGGCCTCCTACGAAAGATATGGTGCGGCAGCTGGCAGCCTAAAAATTATCAATACCTAATTATTTTTATACGGACGCCAGCAGCTGCATGRCAACATGTTACAAATAAAGATGGATCCAAATGGGTCCTTTGATCATAACATATGATAAATATATTATACATCATGTTATTATTTTGTATGTTATATTTTACCACTAGAAGCATCTAGAATATTGACCACTTCAATTCTATCAAAATAAATCATAACACCGCCACTTGTGCCACAAGGAACATTTTTTACTTCATCTGTTTGAAGTGTAACCTGAAAATACAAAGGAACATAAACATGAATATATAAAAAATGTTTTTTTATTTCATCTAAAACATGATTTACTACAAAATACTTACTTGTACGGACCGAAATGTTGTTAGAAAGGGCATCATGATGTGGTAACCAGGATAACTTATTTGAGACAATAACGCTCCACCCTATATCACAAACAAACATTTTAGAATAGATTTAAAAAGTAAATCACAAAGATATATTTACCCTATAATATACGGCTACATGTCCTTCATCAACTCTATGCAAGCAAAAGTGAGTCAATATGGCAGTCAGTAGTAACAGCAAAGGTAATACATAGGACAAGTCTGCCATTTTTTTAATAGGTAGTTAGTCGCAAAATGGATATTTTTAAAATTCGTATTAATTAACAGAGTAAAGAGAGTGTAGTGATATGAAAAAAATTTTAAAACCAAAAAAATACTGACACTAAAAAAAAAACTAATGAACAAAGAACTTCCAGATTACATATACATTATAAGAAACTATTGAAATGGTTTGAAAAAAAATAAATATTATCTATATATCAAAAAAATCATCGAAAACCACTGAGACGCCGACTACCGAGAACCGTACTAGTGTACTACTGTCTAATTAATACCTACTTTGAAAATATTGAGTAAACAAATAACATCACTATTCACTACATGCCAACACAAAACATAAATACATTATTACAAAAATGCTTGATTCGCTATTGTCGTCAAATGTCGTTTTAAAAATTATTATTTATTGGGGTCTGTGCCTCTGTGGAACAAATGAACGGTATTTACTATTTATTCTATTTAAAAAAATGTTCATCAGATCATCAGCAGAGCAAAGTTGAATTTGTTTGTATTATCAAATCTCAATTGATAAGTGATGACAAAACGCCGCTATCGAATCACAGACTTCTATAGAAGTCTGTGTATCAAATTCACCTAAGCCCATAGATAATATATTATCTATGACTAAACCTAACCTAACGGTCCTAACGGAGTAACGGCTAACATTGCAGACTGCACTACTGCAGTCATTGCACCGAACGACCGAACCAAACTTAGATCATATGCTTATTGCAATACTATTTACATGAATTCAAAATTTATCCACAGTTAATATTTAATAAGTAATATTTATAATTCATCACAGATAATTTTGTAAGTCGTAGGTACCTATTTAAACTGTGCCGTGGTAGTAATAATGCAATTTAATACTTAGTTTTATACTAATATACTCTATTTTTAATGTTTATAGAAAATTTTTATAAATTATACATTAAAAAAAATGGTTATTTTTAAATAATAATTAAAAAAATAACCAAAGATACAATCACAGCTGATGATATTTAAAATAATTGCTATAAACTATAGGGAAATAATTGAAATTGAATAATATTACTATATTACGCTACAAAATATACATTATACAATTAATACCATAGAACAATAATAATAGTAATAATACAGTATCATACTACCATTTTATTACCACATTATATTTATGTTGTAAGTAGCAACCACTTCGTGAAATCTTTAATTTTATGAAATGGAAACGTCTTTTCCGTGAAATAGATATTTTATGAAATGATCACTCCAATTTGATATTTGTAATTTTATGTGGCTATTCACTTTGGGAATTCAAACTTCTACTACAGAAAAATAATTTTATTACATACCTATTTATTTAATATTATGCTATATTAATTAATACTATACATTATGTTTTACATACATGTTACGTATATTATCAATTATGTATATAAAATATATATATTACATTATAAATTTAAGTTTTATTTCTTTAACGATTAAATGATACGTTAATTTAATTAATCGATCATGCATAACTACATGTATAATGTATATACTATATAGTGTCATACTAAGAAATTATTATTGCCGCAATCACAATGAACCTTAATTTTCCAAAGATTATACTCGGACGCAACCGAGGGGGGTTTGGCTGTTATACCCCCCCCCC